TTATCCTCTGATCACACGATTATCAATACTTAGGCTACCTTTGCTTGATGGACACAGAAATTGAAGCCCTAATGCATGCACTTGATGAGGAGGAGGAGCAGATGGAAGGTTTGACCAACAAGATTGAGGAGAAGGAAAAAGTCTTGAAGCAAAAGAATCAGGAACTTGAGAGCATTGAAACTTCCCGGGGGAAGCTCACGAAAAAACTCTCTTTGACAGTGACGAAATTTGATGAGCTGCATCATCTATCAGAAAGTCTCTTAACCGAGGTTGAAAAACTTCAAGCACAGTTGCAAGATCGGGATGCTGAAGTCTCCTTTTTGAGACAAGAGGTAACAAGATGTACCAATGATGCTCTTGTTGCAACCCAAACAAGCAACAGAAGTACAGAGGATATCAATGAGGTCATAACATGGGTTGACATGATGGAAGCTCGGGTGGGGTTGTCTCATATAGGTCATGATGATCAGGAAAATGACATACGTGAATGCAAGGAAGTACTCAAGAAGAAGATTACATCAATCTTAAAAGAAATCGAGGATCTTCAAGCAGTATCTCAGAGGAAGGACGCATTGTTGCTGGCTGAAAAGAATAAGGTAGAAGAATTGAAACGTAAGGAATTGCAACTAAACTTGCTTGAAGATGTTGGAGATGGTAATAGAGCTAGCAGTGCGGCCCCTGAAATCTTTGAATCCGAACCATTGGTGAGTTGTATATACTGTTTCTTACATCCTGTTGAGTGAAGTTGGCTCATGAAAGTGAGTTAATAAATAGGACCTGCCTTGTCGCTTGTACTTTCAAATATAATTTCTTGCAATTTTTTATGTTGCACGAATTTGTTGAAATAGCTCGTGCATGTTCATCTATTTCGTTTTCCCCTCAATTAACTGTAGTTACACGTTTGTTTAGTTTGCACGTGGATGGTAATGTTAAGTTACTTTTATTTAGGGTTCAGGGTTTAGGGTTTAGTTATTCATTCATTGTTATTGTCGTTTTTGTGTTGAAGCACCTTGTGGTAAATTCTACCTTGTGCACTCTTGCGCAGATTAACAAATGGGCTGCAAGCAGTACTTCTGTTACACCACAAGTTCCAAGCTTGCGCAAAGGCAATACCGATCAAGTTGCAATTGCCATAGATATGGATCCTGCTAGCAGTAGTAATAGATTAGAGGATGAAGATGATGATAAAGGTAAAATTCTAAACTAGTGTGGTTTCGATCTCCTTGCTTTCAACCTTTTCCTTTCCCAGATAGCTTAAACTTACTGTTGCTTTGATCCTCGTCCATTGTAGTGCATGGTTTCAAGTCGTTAGCTTCATCGAGAATTGTTCCGAAATTTTCAAGACGTGCAACAGACATGATTGATGGTCTTTGGTAGGCATTCAGATATTCTTTTCAGTCACTTTATGTAAATTCGAACAAGTGTGTAACATGCTTTTGTGTACAATTTTGCTAGGGTTTCATGTGATCGAGCACTGATGCGGCAACCTGCATTACGACTCGGGATTATATTCTACTGGGCCATATTACATGCACTTCTTGCAACATTTGTAGTTTGAGCAGTCAAGTTGGTTAGTTACTCATCAACTTTATATACCTTTCGTAAGTGTTTCTAAATTACCGTTAATGTAGAAATCAGGACCCGAACATCACCACACTGTTCTAGGTCATTGCCATACACGTTTCAAATCCCAATTTTTGTCTAAAATTCTAACGAATTTCCATCTAAGAGTAGTTTTAAAATGTATTATAAAAGGTGTAGGGTAATTTTGCACCTTTCGTAGCAAGTGACTTTTGTAATTTAGCTTTCATCTTTTTTTTGGCGGTTTGTAATTATACAAACACTGTATAGCATATCACTGCAGATTCTTAGTCCTCTTTTTCCTTCTCCCTTTTCCAGGTCCATATTCGATTTGAATTAAAGCACGGAGTTCGTGTAACGGGTTCCCTCTTCGGCCTTCCTTTCAATTGATAATTAGGATCCTCATTCGTTTGTACATGTTTACTACCATTAGAGTGGACATATGATTTTTTTTTTCTTTCTTTTTCCTTGTTTTGTTCATCCAAGAAACTGGGATTTCCCCCATTTTTTCCTAGCAAATCCCACAGTGCTTGGCTGCATCAAATAAAGATCAGAGTTCTTGTCTATTACAAAGTATAGATCATCAATTTGTTCACTCAGAAGAACCTTACTTTCAGATTGTACCAGACGCCTATTCTTGTCACAAAATTTTGCTACAAAGCCTAAAAAAAAGGCTTTCCAGCTTTTTCATTCTTCTCAATTTATCTTAGGCTTGAGTTATCTATTTGTATCTGCATGCGCTCACAATTCGGTTTGTTCAACTGTTCGTGAATACGAACTTTAGGTTCCATGTAAACTGGATGGTTGTGTCCGTGTTATATTTTACAACTGTATTAAATCTTCTACTTGACGTAGTTGGGCAAGTTTTTTTTGACATTCTGGCAGGACAAGCTTTTTAACATACAAAATGTCAAAAATAAATGACAGAATCATCGATCAAGAATTCAAATGTTTGAATCACAAATAGATGGATATTGTTATTGTAAGCCAAGTAGGAGAAAGAGTTATTCAATGTTCTAAATCAAGAGAGAAAGAAGAACGAAACAACAAACTGCAGAGGAGCTGTGCTAGTGAAGCCTTACTTGATCTGCAAAGCCCTTGACATTACCTTTTGGATTCTCCTCAAACCTTGCTATCCTGAAATACTTCAGCTCCAACCCCTCCGCCACCCCCTTCAATGCAAGATCTGCCAGTATCCTCCCGATCGCTGGCGACATTTTGAACCCGTGCCCCGAAAACCCACCGCCGATTACCACATCCTTCCCAAATTCTCCTCCCAAAAAATCAATCACAAAGTCTTCATCTGGCGTCATTGAGTACATACACAGTTGTGTCGACACTGGCTCACTTGAATCCACCCTCCCCCCAAACCTCCCCTCTATCCACTTCTTTAATGCAGTTATCGGCAGCTGCCCCCCACTCCCCCATGACCGTTTGTCCGGGTCGCACCGATGCCCGCCATGCACGGCTACCTTAATCAATCCCGGAAACTCCAACGATGGCGTTCCGTAGATATATGTGTCACCGTAGCTAGCAAACGTCGGAAAGTTCCCGCCGATTGCATACTCCCCCTCAGCTCCCTCCTTGATCCTCCAGTAGGACACAGTAGCCTCCAATGGTTGAATTGGCAATTCAATCCCACCAACTGATTTAACTAACTTTCTAGCCCAAGCTCCAACTGTCACCACACATTTCTTTCCCCTAAATCTCTCCCCATTGGCTACTGAAACAACTACTCCTCCACTACTCCCATCTCTCTTTATCTCCACCACTTCCGCGTTGTCCTTCAAATCAGCGCCGTTTTTGAACGCCAGAGTTTGGAACATCGAAACCGCCTTCGTCGGCTTAATTACGCCACCGTACTTGCTCCACACCGCCACCCAGTCCGCCGGGATCTCCACCCTGCCAGAGTACTTCTCCGCCAGTTGCTCCCGATCCAGAACCAGATGCGGGATCGAATGCTTCTTGCAGGTATCGACGGCGGCGGCGAGACTTTTATCGTCGGAATGGCCGATATCGAGCTGCTCCGCCGGAAAATATACCCTGTAACCAATTTCTGCCTCCGCCGTCCGCCAGAGCTCGTAAGATTCCATAACGAGACTGTGATAATAATCCTCCGGATAGGTGGCGCGTATGGTGCGAGATTCTCCATGAGAAGAGCCTCTATGGTGAAGAAAATCGAACTGCTCCAGAATCAGAACTTTGTTCCCTGTTTTAGCGAGATGGTATGCCGTCGAACTGCCCATTACGCCGGCGCCGACGACGATTACATCATATTGAGTGCCGGAATCGGCCATTTCTTCTCCTCCAATTTGTTTGGAACTTTTTTTCCTCTCCTCCGAGTCTCCGATGAGGGGAATTTGCGTGTAGAGTAATGGAAGAGAGTTATTGAAGTTGAATTGAAGTGTGCTACTGCACCTTCGTGTAGGAAGCTCATGTTTTAATGAAATGACGAAAATACCCATCTCTCTTTATTGTATGACCATTTATGCTCATTTACTTTCTGTCTTCTAATATGAAATAATAATAATAATAATAATAATAATAATAAGGTTCAACTTTATCCAAATTCGTATAATAATAATAATATAATAATTTATTGTGTGTCACGTTGTAATATATATATTCTTTTCTGTCAAAATTTTATAAGATTTACTCATATTTAATTCCATGAAAGTCTCCATTCAATCCTATAATTCTAGTTGAACGAAACAAAATTCACACCGCTGTTATATAATTACTAGGTGCGTATGGGCAGGTCCGACAAAATCTTAGCCTATTCGATTTTTCGATAAAGAAAAATATGACTAATCAAAAATAAAATAATTAACTCAAATATCATAAATTAAAATCTTATACCCTTCCGACACTAATAATTATTAAACGATAACTCAAAACCTTTTCAACATCTCCTTCAAATCAATGATAGATTATCCCGATGATTTCGGTGACCTCGTTGTCCCTGACTTCTTCCTCATTGTACCCTAAATATTTTAAAGTTTTGAGATTAGTATTAGGTCGACATACGATACTTAAAACTTATTTTAGATTCGAAAGATTTTATTTAATATGAAGTCATTAAAATAAGATAAACTTATATAATATTTATATATTTTAATGAGATTTTAACATTGCGTTTTAATTAGATTTTGGAATATGACAATAAAATATGTAAACTTATTTACCAAAAAAAATAAAAACTTTTAATAAAATATCCTTTTATATTTTTAAAATAAAGTAAAAATTATATCATATATTTTTTTTCTTAACAAATTAAATCTTCAAACTCCGTTATTAATTAAATTTGGTATGCAATTCATTAATAACTAATAAAAATGTAAATTTATAATCTCATCCTACTTGAAAATAGGATAAAACAAAAAAAAATACAGGCTATTATTAGGAAGAGTTCAATAAGTCCGACCTAAATTTGGCAGGGATATAAAAGCTTTCTAGTACCCGAAACCCAAAATATTCCCACCTACACAAACCCTTCGGCCTGCTAGGGTTTTTTCGATACGTGCATCGTTCGTTCTGATCTGTTGGTATGTTCTTCTGAATTCGTTTTCTTATCATTTTTATGTTTGCTTGTAGATTCCAAGCGTTTGATTGTCAGTAGATCGGATTATCAATGCTCGATTTTATGTAATTGAATTCTGGGAGTCGGCATTTGTTGAACGGTTTCTCGGGAGAAGTTATACTTGTTTGTTTGTTTGTTTTTAAATATTTTTAGGAGTATAATATGTGAATTAGTGTATAGAAGTGTCTTTATGTTCTTTAATGGACGATGTTCTGTTAATGATTGTGCATTTCTTTTTCGGTAACTTGTTTGATTCAGGTTTCTTGAAAAGCAATGTCTCGTGTATATGTTGGGAATTTGGATCCAAGGGTCTCTGAGCGCGAGCTTGAAGATGAATTTCGCGTGTTTGGAGTTATTCGAAGGTGTGGTATATTTAACTTCGTGGCCAACTGTTTGGTTCTTCTTCCTGCAATCTGTTTCTGCTGGATTCTGAAGACGATTGCTAATTGTTAGACATCATCTGCCAGACAAGACAATACGTATTATTTGGTTAATTATTGAAATCTAGCCTAAGTTCATAGCTATATGTGGCAAATTTAAAAACTTAAACTCTTGGTATAAATTCTTACCAGCCCCTATATTTGGCTTGGCGCCATTAATTTTATGAGTTAAAGAATTCCTAGTATTAACTTAAGTCCTATTTCACAGGACCGTGGTTAATCGATAAGTATATTTGATTTCTCTGCCATTTTATCTTACCAAGTTTTATAAGTTTGTTGACACTACCTTATTCATAATCTGATTTTCATTCAGGGTTAAACCATTCATAGGGGAAAAGGAAATCCCACTTTCTGGGTGTTAGGACGAGTTAAACATTTTTTTTTTTATCTATTTTAATCATTTGGTTATTCAATTTTCAAATGTTGTGTTTCAGCGTATGGGTTGCACGGAGACCCCCAGGTTATGCGTTTATAGATTTTGATGATACCAGAGATGCACGGGATGCAATCCATGAATTGGATGGTATGTATGGGCCTTTCTGGTTTTTGTATTGCTTTTTTTATATTGGTATATGGTGTTGTATTTGGATGCACTCATCATTTTTATAGTCATTGGTGCATTGTTTCACACACTTCTTAACTATGATATTAAATAATGGTTTCAGTAACTGATTCATTCTGTTTCTCCTCCCCGCTTTCTCTTACAACTAGTTAATCATGTGTGTCCTTTGAATAAGTGAGAACCAACTTTAAGCTCATAATGCCTTTTCAGCTTCAAACAAGCCATCTTATCCACTATTGTTTCTTTATTCACTGATGAGATCTTCCATGGTTTTATGTCTAATTTTTTATTTACAAACTTTTGGCACCCCTTCACTTTAGTATATACATTTAGCTGGATCTCCTATGATTTTATTGATCTTTGTTCTTCAGTCTATTGTAAAAGCAACTTTCTTTTTTATGATATGTTAATGGTTTGTTAGCTTTGCCTTCATATTTGTGCTCGAACTTGTTTAGCAATGTATTGCTAATATTTCCCTGTTGAATGACAATTCATAACAATCAAACTATTTTGTTCATTGTGATTTCCATGATTTTGCTGAATGATGGTTGATATTATTTTAGTTTTTTGTTCATGCATTTACACTAAACTATGGTTTTGTTCTGATTCATTTGTAACTAACATTGTCAATTCTGAATCAGGGAAGAATGGCTGGAGAGTTGAGCTTTCTCACAATTCTAGAGGTGGTGGTGGAGGCCGTGGAGGGGGCCGTGGTCGTTCTGGCGGCGGTTCTGATCTGAAATGCTATGAGTGTGGTGAGCCTGGCCATTTTGCTCGTGAGTGCCGTTTACGTGGTGGCGGTGGCGGTGGAGGTGGTGGTGCTGGTAGAAGACGTAGCCGCAGTCCTCGATACCGCCGGAGTCCAAGTTATGGTCGCAGGTTTGAACATGGAGGCCAAATCTTGCATTTATAGCTTTTATTTTATTTGTTTTTAGAACGTATCAAATTAGTTTTTATTCCCAGTTGTGTCTGCATTTGGATTTTGTTAATAGTTCCCTTTGGTATTATATATGCTCTGGGGTTTTTGACCTCTTTTAATTCCTTTTCAGGAGTTACAGTCCCCATGGAAGATCTCCAAGACGCCGCAGCTTGTCACCTCGTGGGCGTAGCTATAGCAAATCACCTCCCTACCGTGGTAGAGAGGAGCTACCTTATGCCAATGGGTAAGGCTCTTTAATATATTTTCTTTGGTAGATTTAATTCCTTCTCCATGAACTTGTCTGTCTAGTCTGCTTGCTATAGCTACAGCAAAATATGTCTCCAGCTTTAGGCATTCTTTGTTCTGTAATATTTAGGATGCAGGTTTTTTGGTGTGGGTTTTAACTGAGAATTTGTTTGCTATACTGTATTGTCAGTTTCTTTTTCCTTTTGTTTCCCTAGCGGTTGTAGATGATTTAGTTAGTTCTTCTTTGTTACATAATTGTGTGAAGGACCTTCATTGTGCACCAAATCTGCAGTAAGTCTTCTGCATGCTCATCCAGATGTTCTCTTTTCCAAACATTAACTTGTTTTAATTATATTCATTGTTCTGATTTGTACACTGTTTAAATTTTTTACAGAAATGGCATAAAGGATCGTCGTCGGAGCAGGAGCTGAGGACCACTGACTTCTCAACCTGCCTTAGTTTACACAGGATGTTTAAAGGATTACTCCGGTTCTATGTGTTTTTAGTGCTTGGACTTCGTAACAGACCATTTTAAATCGGGCGACGCCCTCAGCCTCTACTTTTGAGTTTGGATAAGTCCTTTCTATCTACTGTTTGAATTGTTTTTCTTTTTGCCCTTCAGTATAGTTGTAGGAATCTATATGCTAAAATGTCATTAGTTCATATTTATTTTTGATAATGTTATTAAAGCAAATGTCTTGAAGGGCACTGCTAAAGATGTATGTTTTTTTTTTTCCTTGTTGAGGTGTCGTCTCGTACTGCTTCACTGCTTTTCTGCTTCTAGTCGTCTGCTTCTGCTTCACTGCTTTTCTGCTTCTAGTCGTCTGCTTCTGCTTCACTGCTTTTGTGCTTCTGCCCTATCCTGGGATTTCGTTCTACACTGCCCAGCTCTGGGATCTTCAATTTCAAAGGTTGTAGGTCCCAGCCGGCTACAACTGTAGATGCTACTATTTGATTGAAACTCTGCGGTTGTGTTGCATGCTCTCATAATGTTTATGGGATTCCTTTTTAATTAACTTGAAGCATGAGGAACGACGTCAAATGCTTCTGGCAGGTACATGAAACTGTTCTACAGAAGTTTGGGTTGGGATTGTTTCAGAAAATCTGCTTTTTTAGGCATATCTGCATAGCATTCCATTCTTTTCTTCATGGCATTTGCATCACATTAGGAGGATGTTATTCCATATCAATTATTACCATATCTTTTTCTCTGTATATATAATGGTGTGGTTTAGGACGTTTGCATTTACAAAGTATGGTTAGGTGAGGGGTGTGATTAAGCCTAGGAGTCATTCTTTTGAAATTTTAATTTTTTTTTTTTTTTATACGTGTTAATTTTCTTCTCCCTTGATTGCAATTGCTTGTACGGTGGGTCGGTTGCTACGCCGTGCTCTCTTGGCGAAGTCTTTAAGTGAACTGTCTCAAGATGAGCAACTTCTTCCCAGCTGAATGCTAGTGGGAGTTCTCTTCCGTGCACGTAAGTGGTATTTTCCTGCTGTTGGTGAATACCATTTTCCATGATTCTTTATATTATTACGTTGGTGTTCATTTCTCATCTGCTTGAAAGCCCCACTTCTCTCAAAGAGAAACATATAAGTTCCCGTGGGTTGTCATCAGAAGTCGCCATGCCTGCCAATTGATCCTTCATCTTAGTTTGCAGCTTGCTAGGTCTTTCTGCCTACATAATTATGCACGGTCTATGTAATTGAGATTTGTATCTTGCTTCGCCGAATATGGATCACAATTGAACTTGTAGGTTTGTTGGAATAGCTCTCGACCGATAGGGAGAGGGGCGCGCTGAAATCGTTCCTATCGGGTAATTTGGACTCAGATTGGTAGGGCTGTTTTTGAATGTCCATCTTATATGAAAATATTTATTTTGATATATTCCGACATGTTGATATTGATAGATAAGCCCATTCTATTTATGGAGCTCATACAGGCATTATTAAAAGGTAGTTATTTGATTTTGCAGTGTTTACGATAATAATGTACAAATTTGTATGGTAATTTATTGGACAGGAGAAAATAGGGATTATTATCTTTTAAAGTTCGTGTTAAACAGGGTATTAATTATTTTATGGATCTTCAATATTTTGTCTGACATTTCTTAGAATTTATTAATCTATTTCACATAAACATTTTATTATACACAAAATTCAATCTATTGTTAATACAAAAATAAAAATTTAAGAATATATTTGTTACTTTTAAATGTCGTGTAAATGTTCTTTAACTTCGTAGGATGTAATGATGTATGAGGGTTTTCCCAGATGGATATTCTCTAGGAAGTTAGAACAAACAAGCCGCTTTTGACCTGAGAATCCAAGGTATGTCCCAACTTGCCGACTTGAAGTCAATAGATAGAGGCAAAGGACAAAGGTTTTAAATGAAAAAGGGCCATACAGTGACAATCCACCAACCAGTGACAATAGCAGTAGCAAGCACCATCCACAATCAGTACAACATTGAAAAGAAAAATTTAAGAAAAAAGAATCAGATCCTAATAAGGATTTATAAGGTGTATCTGAACCAAAATTCTTAGCCACCCAAAGCATTTAGCCTTCTTCTCATCATCTTTGCCCTGCTGACGCTACCTTTGTCCTTTGTGCTACCACAACTAAATTCTAGTACATGTAGAAGAGAAAAAATATGATATATATATATTAATAAATTGGATGAAACAGTACATTTACAGTGAACTTTGTTGTCTTACATGTCCTCAAAATCAGGAGGCTACAACAACAAAGGCAGCTTGATTCAAACTGGATAGTTTGGTTCGGTTCGGTTCCTGTGGACAACGGGGTATTGGAAATTCCAAAACTACACCCAAGAAAGAATTAATGGTGACTGGGATACTAAACGATAACTTATTTGCATAACAAACACTTAATAAGAAACTGCTGAAAAGGCTTATGAATGATATAACAATCACAGATGCTGTATGAGAGTATGCAAGGGAAGAATGAAAGTGGTGACTAGTGAGTATGATGAAAGGTGGTGCAAAAGAAAGAAGACTCCGATATTGACTGTTTTGTTCAATTTGAGGTCGGTCGGGCTCAGCATCTTTGATTGCCAAGGATTAAATTCCCTCCGTCTGTTTATCCACCTTGATCTTGGATTCATTTGTGTGAAAAGTCAGCTCATTTGCTCTCCAATTAGATCAAGGCCTACAAGGAGGAATGTCACACCTTGGAACATCAAGAAGTAGAAGTGGACTCCTTGTGCAGCCAAGAGACTCCTGAGTGAGGCTAAAAGTAAAAGACACGCGAGCGCTAGCTCTTTTCGATATAACTTGTTTACTTTTTTGACAGGTGCAGAGACGACTTCTTTGCCCTCCTTTAAGTGGGTCAACTCGGAAATCTCGCTCTCCGAAGCGCCTCTATATATCTGCGCTTGATTCGTTATCTTAGAGTCCCTTTCAGCAGCAGCCAGTAAGTCGGATTCGGAGGATCTGCCAGCCTTTTTGGTCACAATCCACTCATAAGAGCTACCTAACTGGAATAAGCCAGACACCATGGCATTGAATTTGGTTACGGACATGGTGTTTTCAAAAAGAAGGTAGGGGACAATAAAAGGAAATGATTTTGGAGATGGAAGAATGTTGAGTAACGACATGAAGATGGGCACGTAACAGATCACCCATACAGGAAGCTCGGCTTCTGGTACGAACATGGTTAGAGGAAGAATTATGCAGAACAACGTGAAGGAATAGAATGGGAGGATAAGCTTCCTTAATAGAAAGAACAATAGTATCAAATTTGCCTTCTTCCATGCTGATATCTGCATTATTGAAGATTTGAGGCATCGTCTCTTCAGAATGCAACTAATAGTTAAAGTATCTGAACCCGAACGTAAAGACCGTACCTTAGAACTTATGACTGCTGGAAGGGACAATCTGAATAGTTGCATAGGACCAGAATGCCAACGATGTTGCTGCTTCCTATAAGCTTCATAGGACTCGGGAACTTCACAAAGGACCTGAATTTTACATTCAAAAAGTTCTTAATGTTTAGATTATACGAAAACAAGCATAATCGACTGTCTTAATACAGATCGATCAACTTTTGATAATTGAAGTTTCTTCAAGCTAATGAAGTGACAGATTCAATTACCTTAACGTCATTTAGAAATACGAATTTCCAGCCGTTAAGATGGGCTCTCACAGCTATGTCCATATCCTCTACTGTCGTTCTTTCAAGCCACCCTCCGGACTCCTCGAGTGCCTTAATCCTCCAAACACCAGCAGTGCCATTGAAACCAAAGAAATTAAGGAACACCCCATTAACCTGCTGTTCGACCTCAAAGTGGAAACACAAGTTAATGTTTTGAAGGCGTGTCAACAAGTTCTCGTCCCGGTTCACAAACGACCATCTGGCCTGGACCAAACCTAGCTCTGGGTTATCCTGCAAAGAAAAACGAAAGGGACAGGAAAATTAACAAAAATTACAAAAACAAAGAACAGGGAGAAAAACTGTTTTTCGTTATTTCGACCTTGAAATGGGGGACGGTCAGCTTTAGAAAATCCGGATTAGGTTGAAAGTCAGCGTCGAAAATTGCAACAAACTCATAGTCTCTAACATAATCACAACTCATTGCAGATTTCAGATTCCCAGCTTTATATCCCGTTCTTACTAATCGATGGCGATAGACTATGTTCACCCCCTTATGGCTCCATTTAGCAACCTCAGCCTTAATTAACAGTTGGATGTTCTCATCATCAGAATCATCAAGAACTTGAATGAGTAAATGGTCCCTTGGCCAGTCAATCTGACAGACTGCAGAGATAGACTGCTCATAGACCTGCATGAAATGATCACAAAACCAGTTATATTTGGAATCTAACTTAATCTTCTGAAACTTCAATTTCCAATTATAAAACTTATAATAGCGACTTCAATTGTAGCAGCCCAATTCAACCGCTATCAGATATTGTCTACTCTCGTCCGTTATGTATCGTCGTCAGCCTCACAGTTTTAAAACGTGTCTGTTAGGGAGAGATTTTCACACCCTTACAAGCAGTGCTTTGTTCCATTTCCAACCGATATGGGATCTCACAACCCACCCCCTTGAGTGCCCAGCGTCCTCACTGGGGCCACCCGGTGTCTGGCTCTAATACCATTTGTAACCGCCCAAGCCCACCACTAGCATATATTGTCCACTTTGGATCGCTAAGTATCGCCGTCAACCTCACGGTTTTAAAACCCGTTTGTTAGGGAGAGGTTTCCATACCCTTACAAGGAATGCTTTGTTCCCCTCTCCAGGCGACGTGGGATCTCACATCAACATAATTGCGTCATGTATTATAATCTCACTTGTTTTCTATGCCTGTTTGTTTCACATGCTATGTTCACTTTCCCTCTCTCCTACGATAATCAAATCTCTGAAAACCTAAACAATTATGAAGTATCCTGAACTCAGAATCATGGCATACTAAAACAGAGAAACAAAGAGGAAATCGATCGAAACGAATATTACCTCCCGTTCGTTGCACATGGGAATTTGAACAAGAACCATTGGATACTTGTATCCACCTCCCTCCACATCATCCGACCTGAAGGGATCCCCTTCAATCTTGGGTTCAATTCTTTTGTACTTTATCCATAGGCAACCAAAACAAAGGATCATACGATCCACCGATTGGATAAGGAACAGAACAATGCAAAATTTAGAGAGTGTTTGAATGAGAGGAGCAATGTACTCTGCTCTACAAGTTAACCAAGCAACATAGAGTGAATGAAGCAATCCTTGCAACTCAGAAGCCTGAGGAATATGCAGATTAGAATGCTGAAAATAATGCCAGCCTTTGAAATAAGCAAGCATTTCAAAAGCAAGAATCCCAATGGAAGTTACTAAGAAAACTCTAATAACTCCAAACAGTAACTTCCCTCTTCCCAGCTTCCCGCCTTCAATGGCGATTCCTTGCCGGTAGATCAGCCTCTTCTTGATTGTTCCCAACAATGTCCAGAGAACTGTAACAAGCCAAGCTATGCAACCGACGGCTCGATTGGCCTTTAGAAGAAGAATCCACGTGACCTGTTTGGTATTTTTGCCTCTACTTTTCTCCACCGGCCGGAATGCGGCGTCGGGACCGTCGATCTCCACGACGGAGAAGTTAGGCTTCTCCATCGTCACAACCACCGGAGTTCCTTTTTGAGGATCTTTCTCTTTTCCCCACCGACACAGAAACCCCAATCTAGGAGCCATTCCCTAAACGATCTAAAGAAAAACAAACGAATCCAAATCTCCAAGACGAGAAAAACAAAAACAAAAACAAAAATCACAGAAGCTCCTAGCAAAACCTCATTTCGAAGCCAAAAAAACGTTCAATCGATGATCATTCCATCAATGTAGCAGAGAATAAGAAGAGAGAGTGAGAGGCTCATTTGTAATTAATTGAACGCTCTAAAACCCAACGTGGGGGAAGAAACCACATTATGAGGAAAGGTATCAGCAGCTTCATGTGGGGTATTGGTCACGTAATAGCCTTTTTTAACAGCTCAAGAACTTTGATATCACAGTGAAATGGAAAGGAAGCGTATGGATTAACTAAGCGAAACAGTGGAGAAGATGAAGAAAATTTGACTAAACGAAGACGAAATATGGTCAATAAGAATTGACCTACTTGGATTCTTGAATTGGAAGGCGAAAAACAGGGATCTTCTCCTTTGATTTACAGAACGTGAAGAACCCGACTGTCAAAATCAGGTCTCACCTGTTAATCCAACGTCCAGACGGATTCGATCATGGGGCCGATTCAGATTTCTCTCTCTTCCACCGCACTTCTTTAATCCCAATGAAAGATGTCACTATAATTGGAGAAGGAAAAGAAATGTTATTTATATGGATATAAACTTCTTTTAAATAGAATTGTTTTAAAATTGTGA